TCTTTTCTCTCTCTCTCTCTCTCTCTCTCTCTCTCTCTCTCTCTCTCTCTCCTTTTTCTTTTTTTTTTTTTTTTTACGTAAACCCGAAGAAAAACAGATGAACTAGAATTACACGATTGTTCCCTGTCGATGTATATCCTTGGATGAATAATAAAGAGACATGCAAATTGTTTCGTACACGATCAGTGGAAACCAAATGCATAGTCGTATTTGAAATAAAGCAACGTTCTCTTTCATTTTCTCTTCATTTATTAAGAACTTATTTTCTTCTTTTATTTATTTATTTTTTTTTTTTTTGTTTAATCATGTCTGATGCGATTATTATTCATTCAAATGGAGCTAGTTTCAAGCATGAGCGTGCATTTGGCTGAATGTTCTTTCCATCCAAAAATCGTTGTTGAATTATTTCTTTTTGTGAATCTTGAACCTCTCGACGTCTTTTTTTTATTTTTTTTTCTTTTTAAATACAAATCGTAAAGAAGAACGATACCTTGTGAAACACCTTGCCCATTTGTATTTCCAAATATCAAATATTTATCTATTTCAAAAATAGAAAAAAGAATTAAATACAAAAGAGAATGAAGTGTTCTGTTAATTCGCAATCGTATAAATAAATTCCAAATTAACACACCCATATGATATGATTGTTTGAATTTACAGATATCGCGATGTTTGAAGATTCGTCGAAAGTCACGGACAAACCGATGGCTGAATCTTCGTCGAAAAATGAATCGGCATTGATAACGAACGATGCATCGATAACAAGCACGAAAATAAACGAGGAGGAGCCAATTAAACGACCCATGCTCGGGAAAATTCCAAAAAGCCATTCGGTTTCCACCGGAACCTCCCCACCTCCTCAGAGCATTTCCACTCAAGTAAGGGAAAAACGTTCCTTTTATTTGGATTATAGAACGTTGCCACGAATAAAAGAAACGAGGAGTCTACGATACGAAATGTATGCTTTTCAGACTTACGACTATCTTCCATCGAGAGGAAGTGGCGGCGGATTCGTGAGAGCTGCATCCGCTTCAAAGGGATTATTGTATTACGAGGACAGCGATGGAGAGGTAAAACGAAAGATTAATACATAGATTCGCGAAATATGTATATATATATATATCTTCTCTCTTCGAAATTTCGTAATTCAAATATTTGTTTTTGTTTGTTCGAAAGTGAATCGGGTCGAGTATTATCGTGTTTCGTTCATTATTCATTTCATCTTCTAATCCTCTATGATCTTATTATCGTCCATAACTAACCGGACATTTTATTAAATTTCACGCATTCTCCGATTCGTAATTAATAAAAGTTTTTCAAAAATTTTAATTTCCTAATCTGTCAAAGCAGGAATTATCGTACTTACTCGTGATTTCCTTTTAATAAAAAGAAGGATGCTGAGCGTTTGTTTCAGGAACAAAACGGGTTCGCGAACAGTCCAGATTTGTATCCACGAACGATCCAGGATCAATATCTTCAGTTGATCGGGCCCAGCAGGGATCGTACGCGAAGAAATTCCATCGACTCCACCCACCTTTATTACCGTTCCAGGGTAAAACTTGACAGATATCCCTCGAGAATCGTTGGTTTCTAATCCGATCTAATCTCCAGTATAAAATTTTAACACGATTTGTGGCAGTTCCGTAGCCTCGGTGTGAACGTAGGCAGGTTTACATTTACAGCGGCATTTATCGTATATACGATAATTCGATACGAAATTCTAAAAGTATCATCATTCATCATCATTAATAAAACGATATATTTTATATTATCCATTCGAATTCCATCTGCGACTGTGTGTGATCATTAATCCAATAGATATATAATAATTCTCGATACGTGTTATAGATTGTTCTTAGTTCTTAATGTAATCTTAAGCCTGTATAATTATAACATGGTTATATGATTCTTTATACAGAAGGTAGAAGGTGCATCTTACGGCGATGAGATCTTTCTACCATTGTTTTAACGATTTTTGTGCGTTCTGTTTCGATTCATTTCTTTTTTTTTTTTTTTCTATCATTTTTAATTGAATTATACTTGCCTGCTTTCCAGGAATCGAGCCAACCCAGATTCCTCGAAGGACCTGGACCGAGTTCACAAGGCGTTTCAACGTTGACCAGACAAGGCTTGGAGATCGTAGAGATTTTAAGGGAGGCTGAGAAACATGGTTACTCCACGGACGACGTCCAGGTGGCTTTGTCTCAGGGGGCGAGCAATCCCATCGACTGGTTGAAGACCCAGTGGCCCCACTTGGTGGAAACCGTGCAAGTTCTGGTTACCACTCAAGGAAGGGAGATGAAAGAGAATAATATCGGGATGCTTTCCGGCGTGGAGGCGAAAGAGGCGTTGAGAGTCACGAAAGGGGATGTTTGGAAGGCTGTCGCGATGGCCGCTCAACGTAGACAGCTAAAAGTGAGGATTTTGAGAATAGTTTCGATAGATTAATTAACGTATATAAAGTTGAAAATTAAATGATGATATATATATATATGATGATTCAAAAGTGCGAGGAAATTATGAAGAAAGGGAATTTCACGATGATGGAAGTGGTGAAAGCGTTGGAAAATAACGCCGGTGCCGAGGATGCGGCTTTGTTCGAGCTGCAGAAAAATCAGCTCAAGCCGTTCTTGATGAGGATCTGGGGTCCTCCGGTTGGGGTGGAAAACGACGAGGCTGCACCGCGGGAAGGTCGGTCAAATCAAACATTGACAATTTCATCCTATTTAATAAAACATTATTTAAAAGAAAAAAATCTAAAATTTCTAGAACTCTAGAAAACAAAAACAAAACGAAAATTTAACAACCGACGCAATGTAATTTATTCGTAAGTAAAAATAGTCTATTAATCTCGATACATTATGCACGCATTTGTACACACGATCTATATGTAAATCACACGATTTACAAGTAAAAGTCCAAGTTTACTTGCGAATACATTTACTTAATTAAATTAAATTAACATGCGCGTATGTTGACCAACAATCGATTCGACATTTGTGAAATGAATACGTAGTTTTTTTATTTTAATAAATCAATTCTCTTTTAAAAATAGTTGTTCGTTCACGAGGTGAATGGTTTCAGATGCGGTCGGTGGTGAGACGAGCGGTTCCGAACAGATTACCCACGTGGGTACGGACACGGAAGCGAGGAAGCAGGTAATGTCACCAATCGTAGAAAATTTCGTCGCGTTGCAGGCCGACTTTCAAAAGCAACTGGCAGCCCTCAGACAGCTAACCGATAACTGGCAACACGAAACACACCCCCTGAACACGCTCGGTAATAAGCCTGATAATCTGTATCAAGTTAACAATGACGATCGAACAGTTCTAATCGATAAAAATCTGGTCCCAAGGGCCGCACAAGATGTAGCAAACACAGTTAAAACAGTGGAGAGCGAGGGATCAAAGAAACGAGCCAATGAGGACGAAACTAGATTAACAATTCGAAATACCGACACACCGATCGAGAAACACGATCAAAATAATAATTCCACGATACGAAATTTGATTGGAGAAAAAGAACGAGTCGAGAAATTGGAGGATGAGAATGAAATCAACGATAAGACGGTTAAAGATGAAATTTCGATCCGAGATATCCATCAAACCGAGACAATGATGATTAAAAATATCATTTCGCCTATCGTAACCGAAGAAGACCACGATAAAAGGATTGATCCGACGACGACGAGTTTAATTCGAAAAGAAGTAACCGATCCGACGGAAAATTCCTCGCAGAACGATCGAAGCGAAGAAAAAGAGATTTCGATCATCGATAGAGACACAAAGGGAGAAAAATCTACGGAGAATAAGAAGGAAGAAAGTGTTTGGTCCCCTGGTATCGAGAAAGAATCATCTTGTACAGCGGTGGACGAAACGAACGATGTAACCAGATCGAAAGAGAATGTAAAGCAAACGGTAGAGATGAGTTCGAAAGTAGCCCAAGAGAAGGTCGAAGAAGCTATTGATTCTCGCATTAAAGAAAGCGAGACGACCCCCCGAAACAGCTCCGATCCCGGGCAAAGCGGCGTAGAAACAGATAAAGCTTCCTCGTCGTTCTCGAAGAAGAACGAGCCGCCGCCATCCCGGAAGGCTTCTTCCGATCTTCATCAAAGCCCGTTACAAGTAGATAAAGATTCCTCTTTGGTAGAAAGAAGTATCCCTTTGACGTCCAACGTAACGGACCACGAGGAGAGTGTATCTGAGATGTTGGAAGAATCTACTCGAGATCAACCGCAAACCGATGGAATCGAGCGGCCCGATTTAATAAACGAAACCACGATGCAACAACAAGACGATTTCTCTCGAAGGGCAACGCCGATATCCGTGGAACTAATTAATTCCGCTGTTGAAAATTCCTCCGAAGAGAGAAACGAGAGGATTTTTCAAGGGAATATCGAGAGCAAAGAAACGAACGAATCGAATAAATTGAAGCGCGAAGAGAAGGATACGAAGAGGGCAGAATCGAGGAATGCGATCGAGGAATCTCGATCGACAATAATTACGGCTGAAAATGGTTTCGAAATGGATCAAAGTTTCGAGGCCGTGTTGCCGCGGAAAGGGAAGAGACGCAGGTAGAGGCGTTGTTGTCCGCGATGAAATCGTTGCCGGAGCAATTACTGGGTCCTTTCATATCGGCGATGCAGATGTTGTCGTCGAAGAAATCGGGCGTGGACGCCGATATTCTCGATTCTGGCCGCGGAAAGAACCGGAACGCTTCGCCTCTTCGAACTTGCATTGATAGTGGATCGATGGAAGATAAAAGCGTACCTCGAAGCGTCGAAAATTCGGGGAAACTCGTAGCGGAAGTGGGGGGAACAACGGCGGCCGACATCGAAAAACTGCAAGAAATCGAAACGGTACGTAGAAACGAGAGAAACGATAACAACGTCAAATTCATTAACGTAGAAGGGGGGGAAATGGAGGGAGAATTTAACAGGAATCGGGTCCAAGAGGAAGAGGAGAAATTGTTGCAGAACGAAGGGGAAACGGAAACATCGATGGAACACGTAAGTTCCCCGGAAATTGCTATTGACGATACTAACACAAGTGAAAAAGCATCTAATTCTGAACATTCTCGGCGCTCAATGAACGAAGTTTCGATCATCGATTCGAGGGCATCGTCATTAAATATCGAGAATTCATCTCATAAAGATCATCTCGAAGCGAATTCTGAAATTCACGCGCGGAACGATCCATCGATTGAGCGATCGAAGGATAACTCTTCCTCGAACGACGCGAAAGATTCTAAGTTTAACGATGCATCTTCGAAAAACGAATCACTCACCGCTGATGGTCCGATAAGACTAAACGAGGCCATTGGCGCAGAATCATTATCGAGCGAGACGTCATCCTCGTTCGTACGTGACTCGGGGACGTCTGTCAGTGAATCATCCGACATGCAAATGCGCTCGACGGCTATTGGGGCTCGAGCTGGCGATGATAACCGTGTGAAATTAATTGATGCCAGTTTGGTGGTTGACAATCGACCCTTTGCGGAGAGTGCGGTCATTTTGGAGCGCAAATCGCTTGATAATAATCAGACTAATTCGACTCAGACGGATGTGCCTCCTGAGGTTTGCCTTACCCTTGAAGAAAGTCCCAATTTAGCAGACAGAGAATTTAATAGAGTCTCTGTTGGCCCAGCTTTGAAAAATTCTGGAATCGATCCGCAGAAAATTTCTGAGGAGCCCGATAATTTAATTAAAAATGTTTCTCGAGATTGTGGAAATATCAGACACGAGATCTTGAAAGAGGTCGCTCGAAAAGAGATAGCCGAAGAAGGACCTAGATCTGCTAGTCCAGATTCTTCAAAAGGTCTTGAAATAGCTCAGGAAATTTCTGTGGATTCTAAGATCGTTGTAACTCCTATAGATTCCAAAGTTGATGGAATCTCTCTGGATACCGAATCCTCTGTTCCCAATATCTCAATGCATTCTAATATTATTACGCGGGAAAAATCAGAAAATTTGGAAATTTCTATTCAACGAGTTCCCGAGAATTCAAAGAATACGTCTAATATTCCTTTAGATTCTAAAACTACAATCTCTGAAATTATTTCCACTAAAATATCCGCAGATTCTAAAATTGTGGTCGAAGAAATTTCGAGAACCCTTCCTTCAGATTCTGATATTCCCAAAGATTCAAAAATTACGATCTCTGAAACTTCGAGAGATTCTATTCCAAACGAGATATTTGAAGATTCCAAAATTTATTCTAAAGATTCTTCAGACTCAAAGTTAGCTATTCTTGAAAAGAATTCTGATACTTTTAAAAATGTTGAAGCAATTCCCGAAACTTCTAAATCTGATTCTTCTAAATCTGTCCCAAATGAAATATCCGAAGATTTAAAAATTTATACTCGAGAAGATTCTTCAGATTTAAAATCAATGATCGTTGAAAAAACTCCTGACACAAATATCACAGATTCTAAAATTTCAAACGATTCTAAATCTTCTCTATCAAACGAAGAATCTAAAGATTCCAAAATTATTATTCAAGAAGTTTCAAAAGATTCTCAAATTCCTATTCATAACTCTTCTTCGGATTTAAATATGATCCCCGAAGAAAATTCGAAAACTACTTCACCTGATGCTTTCAAGGAATCTGACAACGGTCAGAAACCATCCCAACAGTCCAAAACTCCAGAGATCCTTAACAAACCCACAACGATCGTCCACGAAACTTCTGAAGACGCATTGCATGTATCCGAAAAAGTGGAACAGCCTATCTCCGTCGCATGCCACGTTCCCCACGACAAAATCGATATCTCACCGCTAACCTCTGCAAGTAAGTCTGCCGATTCTAAAAAGGAAACTTCCAAGCAAATTAACATTCGATCGAAATCAGAATCAGAAGATAACGCTGCATCTACGAAAGTAAACGATATAAAAAAAGATACTTCTCTTCTCCTTCTTGTAGAAACGAAAACTGACACAGAAATCCAGGATAATTCGAATAAATCAATAAAAAAGATCGATTCGGAGATAGGGAAAAACGTAGGAGAGATTCCATCCGTGCTCTCCGGCATCGTCGACGCGAGTAAACCTTTCGAAGCACTCGCCAATACCGAATCGACGATTGTAAATATTTCGAGTGACCCTTCCATTTCCGGCTCCTCGTCGAGCTCGCGTACTTTGAACGGATCGCCCGTTAACGAGCCAAATTCCACGGATACTAACGATATAGCGAACCGCTTCGTCGCTTCTGATAACGTTCCCGATACGTCGCATAAAAACGCGTCAAACTCGATCGAAGGAAGTATCGAGTCGAATCCGAACGAAACTTATTTCGCCGATAACGTGCCTGGAACCCTTAACGAATCCTCCCTCGACGATGATAAAAGTATAGAAAAAGATTCGAACAATAACGCGTCCCATTTATATCCTCCAACTTCGAACGAAATTGGTGGAAATGGGATCGAAGTGAAACGGAAGGAAAATCCTGAAATATACGTTGTTGTCTCGGATACTTGTACGATGTACGAAGATTCGCCGGTAAATATATCGGAATCCTCGAGCCAAAGAATTGTCGCGTGTTCGAACGTAAATAGTATTAATGACGCGCATCCAGGAACAGCCGACGTTATAGAGATCAAAATAACCGAATGCCCTATGATAGCGGTGAACGATTGTGCGCCGATAAAAGTCGTGGAAAGTCGATCGGAGGGGAATCCGATCGAGGGGACGAGGAAATTGCGAACGGAGAGCGAGATCGCGAGGATTTTTTCGGGAGAAAGCGCGGTGGGCGTCGAAAATAATGAAACGGATGCAAATGAAGTTGATAAAGCGGTTGGATCGAGAGGTACGGTGAAGGAGAGATCCAAATCCCCTGCGAAAAAGATGGGCAGAAGGAGGTCTCCGGTGAAAGTGGTGAAAAAACCTACCGGCATACCGAGAAGAAATTTTGGAAAAGTCAGCCCGAAAGGCGCGACGATGGCAAAGGCGAAGGAAACCGCGGCTGAAATAACTCGGAGATCGGCATTGCCGAATTGTCAAAAATTGTCGAGGAAAAGCCCCCCGAAAACTAGTACCATTAGAATAGCGAAAAATATTTCTTCGAGCGATGTAACGAGCAAAACGAGATCATTGCCTGGACAAAAGCAAATTTTAAAGAATCTTAAACCTCCGACGGAGAAGGTGATAAAGGAAAAGAGATCGACAATTTTGAATACTTTATCGAAAGGTTGCGAACAAATTAAGAGATCGATCGTGCCCGCGCAATTAGATACTGATAGAAGTAACGAAATAACGGATGAGATAAATTTAAAAGGGAAGAACACGTTGAAATCTTCCTTCCTCTCGAGGATCCCCGTGTTCACGGCAAGACGTCGAGTTTCGCGACAGACTCCTGAAACTTCGTGGCAATCTTCGAGAACGGTATCCGGTGACGGGTTAACTAGAGCTTCGACGAAACCATCGATTACCCAACAAGCATCGAGAAAAAGTAGTTCAGCTGGAAATGGTTCGAGGATTGGAGGCGGACAAAAAATGGATTCCGATAAAGTCGAGGGAAATTTAAATGGCGGGAAGATGGTGGCCGTAAAAACTGAAGCAGCTCGGACGAGAACTTCCGGGGATGAGAAAGGAACGGGAGAAAAAACGAAAGCCACGATGGTATCGGAGAAAAATGACAAGGAGGTGGTCGTGATCGAGTCTACTAAGGGAGATCCTATGGTATCCGAGGAAGTGGATTTAAATGATACGACTTCGAGCGAAGAATACGAGCTGGAAGAAGTTTCAGATAACGAAACTTCCGCCTCCGACTTGGAGAGCATCACTGAATCGGAATGTATATCGGAAAAAGAGCAGTCGGATCGTACTTTGGACAGTACGGAGGAGTTGACCGATGCCGAAATTATGCTACGAGAAACGATTAACGCGATAAAAGCGAAAATATCCGATTCCGAATTTGAGAATTCTGAAAATGAGTGTATCACTGATAACGAAAGCAAAGAGGATTCTAACGAAGATCACGTGAGAGATTCTTCCTCCTCCGAAGAAGAGGAGGAACAATTGGGGAAAGATAAAAAAATTGATAATGAAAATTCGGATAATGCATCGTCCGAAGAAGATGATACTTTGAGAGATGATACGAACGTTGATCCGAAGAATCAACAATTGCAAAGAGCAAATAAATTACTCGATAATGCCAAAAATATATCTAAAAGAAATATTATTTCTAAAACTTGTTCCGCTAAAAAATCTGCTGTATTTATAAAAAATGACACGAATATCGTCAAGGATAAATCTGTTAAATTAAGTGAAAAACAACTTGAAATAAACAAGTCTGGTAAAAACGAGCAAAACAAGACAGATCTTAAGACAGAAATCGTAAAAGTGAGACGGTCGAACGATAAACGCACGAAAGTGAATCGTAAAGCGAGCACAGGCTGTGACAGAGAGGTGGATCAGGGTGGAACGTTAAAGAAACGATTCTCTTTGGTGGCCAGTTGTATCCGTCGATTCGAGGGCGAAGAGAAAACGGAACGAGAATATGTGGAAAGTAGGAGCGGCAACGCGAAGACAGGCGGATCTCCCAAAACGGAGAGGGAGGTCAGTAGACGTCAGTTGTCAGAATCACTTGTCGACTTTGTCGATCCTTGCTGCTGACAGGCCAATGTCTACAAACAGCTCTACCAACGTGTCAAAACACGAACGAGATAAAATAAAAAAAGAATATGAAAAAAAGTAAAAAAAAGATACAACCTGACAACATCCCTGTTAAATTTTTAACCCTGTTTTGACTGTAGCTTTTAAACATTTTTTCTCTCGACTAGGATAAAGTTGGCTCTCTGTTTCAACGAGGTAAGTTGTACTCCTCTTGTTTCTCGTCGTGACTAATATCGTTGTTGTATAGCATGTTGCTTTGTTCCGCTCTGTGTTCAAATTAAAAAAAGTAACAGAATCGTGGTATACGCGCGAAACTCGAGGTTTGTATGTCCACGAAGAAAGCACACACTGAGAATTTAATTTAATAGCGCGGAACACGACTTTTCCATCATCTAATTTGTTGGATGGTTCCCAGGTTTTTTAGTAATTTAAATGCACGCAGATAATACTTTTCTTCGAGCATTTCAAGTAATAAAAGATACTACTTCTTGATATATGTATATTCTTGATGTATACATATGTCTGTAAGATAATTTCTGCATTCTTCAGAATTATTCATTGACTTATTTATGTTCCATAATTACTTTTAGCTTCTATTAATATTCTATTTATGAATTGATCGATGTTATCGTTATTACCAGAGCTCGTTTCTAGACGTTGGTGTAGTCTTTGTCTATCGTATTTTTGCATGTCATTATTTTCACGTATTATTCTGTGCACCAATCTCCATCTAAAGATTTGAAATTTCTACAATTATATCTTTATTGAATTAAGCCAAAAAAAAAAAAAAAAAGAAAGAAAAACATAATTATTATACTAATTTGAACGAGAAAAAATTAAAATTGAAAAAAATTTTCTTACATTTACAGAGAATTGCTCGTCGTCTCTTAGCGGAAGGTAAAGCGTCGAATTACGACGAAGCGGAAGTAGCCGCCAGTTTGCTGGCTCTGAAGTTCGGAGACATTGAGGCTCTCCAAGCGGCCAAAGAGTGTTCCAGCATAGAATCAGCATTAGCATTTTTACAACAAGAATGTGAACTTTGCACGGGTCGTTTTGCAATGAGTCAGGTATTCGAAATTGAATCATGCTCGATATTTTATCTCTGAATTCAAATTCTTTTCTTAATTCCAGATAGTGTCCATGTTAAAATGCATTCATCGTTGTTGCAACGAGTGTGCAAAGAATTACTTCACCATCCAGATCAGTGACAGAAACATAACGGATGCAGTTTGTCCATTCTGTAAGGAACCAAATCTTAAAGATGCGAATGAAGACGAGGTTCTCGAATATTTCAGTAACCTGGACATACAGTTGAAGACACTTCTAGATCCTCCGATTCACGAACTTTTTCAAAGAAAGCTGAGAGATAGAACATTAATGCAAGATCCGAATTTTAAGTGGTGCATTCAGGTGTTTATTTACATACAGATTGTCGCAATCTTCTTTATCCGATTATTGCAAAGGATATAATATATGTGTCGTTTTTAGTGTTCAAGCGGATTTTATGCAGATCCAGATCAAAAGAGATTAATATGCCCCGACTGTCGATCAGTCACGTGTGCCCAATGTCGAAGGCCAGTACGTGATAACGTTAACAATTAGAAGAAAATTAAATGGAAATTACATAAGGACGAACAAATATCTTTTCTGACGTTGGTTCGTTTTCAGTGGGAGAAACAGCACGAAGGAATTACGTGCGAGCAATTTGCTGCTTGGAAAGACGAGAATGACCCGGATAATCAAGCCGCTGGCTTAGCCAAGCACCTCGCGGATAATGGGATAGATTGTCCTAAATGCAAATTTCGTTACTCCTTGTCTAGAGGAGGTAAGTTGTTCGAACGAACACTCAACATCCAATTTATTCGAACCATAATGAATTTTCTGTAAAATATCGAATTACATTACAGTATTACACATATTAATTTTACATGGAATTACTTATTCAATTAATATATAACATGATTCTCCCGATTTTAAATGTTTTTATCTTTCAAACGATCGTAAATAAAAAATATTTTGTATAGTAATCGAATTTATCAATATCGAAAATATCATACTTTTTTTTTTAGGTTGTATGCATTTCACGTGCAGTCAATGCAAGTACGAGTTTTGCTGCGGTTGTGGCAAGGCGTTCATGATGGGAGCAAAATGCTCGGTAAGCCCGTATTGCGCAAAGCTGGGACTTCACGCTCATCATCCACGGAACTGTCTGTTCTATCTTCGCGATAAGGAGCCCGGGCAGTTACAACAGCTGTTACGAGATAATGGAATCGAGTACGACACAGAGGGTCCAGCTGGCGAGCGCAAGTGCAAAGTGCAATTGCAAAAAGAAACTCCTACTGGTGTTGTAGACGCGGTATGCAATTCAGATGTTGTCGAGGGACACGCTGGTTTGTGCAGGTAATTTGTGTGTTTCCTTTTAGCTTCGCATGTATTCTCCATTATTACGATTATCATTTTTATAATCAAATATCTTTAAATATCGTTGAAATCTTATGGATATTGCATTATGAATCTGCATTAAAAAATTCATAGCAGAAGGATCAAGATATTGTTCATCATTATAATGTTTGTCTGGAATAAATGAAAAATAAATGATGTAAGTTATTCATCACAGACTAATACTAATACTAGAAATTAATTTCTTTGTTTCAATTCTTCAAAGTCATTAATTTCCCCTTTTATTAGTTACAAGAATCTTTGTGTTATTATTATTAAACTCTGAACAAAAGAAAATTAAAAATCTATAAAAAAAAAGTATATTATAAAAAAAAAATAAAATAATAAATATTTCATTTTGAAAATATCAAATAGTTAGTTGCTTTTTAACGTATCCTTCGAATATTTAGGAACCACTATATCGAATACCTAGTTCGAAAGATCCGGATGATTCAACTGGAACCGCTTCCGTTACTAAACATAGATGATCTCGAGACATGCGTGAAACGTGCGGGGATCAAGTTACCCCCGAATTGGTACGGTCGTGATCCGGAACATTACAAGAGAGATTTGATCGAGGTAAATGAAGAAGCAGCGTGCATGGCACGACTAAATTCTGGGTACTTTTCCCCGCAGGCAGCACTACATAGAGTACTTGGCGGGTCTGGTACTGAAGGGCAAGCTGGATCCCGTGGCAATCTTTGACTTGAACGATGCCAAGCAAGAGCTGCGCCGTCGGGGAAAAGTTCCCCCTGCGAAGGACCAGGAAATGTCCGAGCGGGATTATCTCGAGGCGTGCATTCAGGTGACTAACAATTCCTCTCCTGCACTCCTGCCCCGACACACTGACCGAATTAACAAAAAATGCACGAAAGTAGATCTTCATACATGACTTTCGCAGCCAAAAAATGCAACGGTGTGCGCATACCGAAAAAAAAAAAAGAAATTTGAAATTGTGGATATGAATTTTATTTTTTTTTCTATTTTTAATTCTATATTGGAATGAATATTATTTTTTTGATACCATTAAAAATATTATATTTATTATGTTTAACATTTGGATGTTTTGCAGATCGTGCGCAAGGAAATTCCATTGGAGTGATAGAAGGGGAATAATTAATGCGCGATTTTACGTAACTCACGCTTTTTATGCATCATGTATAGTGTATTTATTTTATCGTATGAACAGCGATGTAGAGAACAATTTAAAATTAAATTAAACAAAGATTGAAAATTGTTTAGTATTTAATGTAAAAAAATAATTAGTCTTTTAAAAAATAGGATTTGAAATCTAAGTATCAATTCTTCTAGTTTCTTTACTTTCTTTATATATA